ACATGTCTCGTCATCTTCAGGCATTCTATAAGCTAATGTTTCAGTGCTATTCATACGGTTTTCAGGGGCTAATTCCTCAGAACCGGATGCCCATTCCTTCTAGACGGTTTGTACTCTGGATGTTTTGCTGAAACATGTTCATCATGAGTGACCCTGCTAATATTTGAAATACGAGTGGCACAGCTTTCAGCATCACAGCAACATGCAAGCCACCACCTGCTGCAACAAACTAACAGGTGCATGGTAGCTTTAACAGTACTATCTAATATAGTACATAGTTACTTATGTATCTTGTCATTGTTTATGTCCACTAGAATGCAAGTTACACAAGGCAAATCAGTTCTAGCTCACATATGGGAATGGACTAAAAATATAAAGGTCATCATACTACACGCTAACATCCACCCAAAAGAAGCAGTAATCAACTAGGAAGGCAACATTACCTACATAGTTGGCCTCAGTCAGGTGCTGGGAAGACTGGCGTCTGAAAGGAGTAGCCACAATAACGTAGGTGAAGCTTATATGTGATACTAACAAGCAAGGGTCCCACTCACCAAGACGGATCTAGCTAGCTACTGCTGCTGCAGAAATGTCCAACCTACTAGCAACTGAGATCAGTGTTGTATGCCCCAAAAGGCTCCAGCCCCTTTGACTAAGCACCCACCTGGGGACACACTAACTACATTAGATGTCTTCCCCTGAAAAGGTCCAGCGATTCACTGTGATGGAAATGAGGAGGGACTAAAGCCTCCTATCAACAGTGATGAGTGAGGAACAGTAAAAGCCAATCCTCCGGCCCCTGCAGCTCCAGCTACACCACGACTGTAATCTATAGAGACCTGCGTTAGAACCACGGGGTCAGGCACTCCTTCATTCCTGGCGGACAAAAAACTGGGAACGAATAAAGGTTCTCTATCTTTAAGCGGTTACAAACTATAAACTAACTTCTCATACAGCTACAGATAGCATACACAATACCAGGAAGAGACTGTGGCAAACACCGGAATGATAAACCTTAAGGGAGAAAGGGCGTATTATGTTTTGAAACATTGTCGGAAAGTGAACTCAGGAAAGAGCTCTATCTTGCCCAAGGCTGTAGCCCCTCTTCTCACAGCAGCCTTCATCCACTGACTGCTTGATAGAAGGCTATAAAGGCCTGGACCTCTCACCTCAAAAGGGCCCGCGGAAGGATCATTGCATCATTGCATCTTAAAAATCCCCCAGTGTTTCCTGAGATGTTCACTGATGTTTTCAGCCTTTCCCATCCTCATTCTCGCCCCTCTTTTTCTGTCCCTCATCTGTGGGTGTCAAGAATAGTCACGACGTAAGCTCTTGCACACTAATTCCTGTATCTGAGTCTGTTTCCCAGGTGTCCTGGCTATCTCGTGAGCTACAACAGACCATAAGGGGTATTTTTTTTTTTTAACATTTTATTAGGGGCTCATACAACTGTTATCCCAATCCATACACACATCAATTGTGTAAAGCGCATTTGTACATCGTT